AGTCAGTCTCACTCTGTCCCCAAGGATGGAGGGCAGTGGCACGCTCCCTGCCTCCAGTCTCAACCTGCTGGGCTCCGGCGATCCTTCTGCCTCAGCCTTCCGAGTAGCCGGAACTACAGGCGTGCGCTTTCACGCCCGGCTGATTTTTTGTTACATTGCAGAGACAAGGTCTCGCCAACTTGCCCAGGCTGGTCTTGAACCCCTGAGCTCAGGCAATCCTTTCGCGTCTGCCTCCCAAAGTGCTGGAATGACAGGCTGGAGCCACAGCACTGGCCAGTCATATGCATCTCTTAACTTAACGCTCAGTGTAGACTGTCCTGGGGCTGCTGGTTTAATTGTCTTATTGAGCCTCATAGGTGGAATGGGTCTGTCAGCTTGTCTAGTCTGGTGCTGATTGGGCTCCCTGGAGAGTTTTGTTACATGAATGCATACATTTAACTCTTTCCTTGCCTAGCTCGGTGCTCTCTTCCAAGAAACTGCCTCTGTTTAATTCTGTTTATTTACCCAGAATTTCAGTACTGAGATGTGATTTGTACCCGCGACAGTGTTGCAGTTGCGGGTTTGCTTTCTAGCCTGGTTATCATGCAGGACAGGAGCACGATGCTTCTTGTCCCTTGCACTTTAGGGGTAGAGCCCAGGTTGCATTCGGCACATGCAGTTGGCACCAGTGAAACAAACAGCAAATAGGTTTGGTTAGATTGTTTTGATCGTTGAAAAACATCTAGTATGCTAGTAGGAAGTTTATAAAATAAATGGAATGAATTTTACAAAAAACAGTATTCAACTTTTTTTTATTATAAAGATGTGGGGTACAATTCCGGGTTAGGTATACAAACGTTGATTATGCAGGTACCCTTGTTGATGAGGTGTGCCCCTCCCTCCCCTAGCAGTTTCCCTCAACTGCCAATCCCACCCCCCTCCCCTGAAAGTTTCCCATTACTGCCAAATGCTTTCTTTTTTTTTTTTTTTGAGTTGGAGTCTCACTCTGTCGCCCAGACTGGAGTGCGGTGGCCGCTCCCGGCCACTGCAGCCTCGCCTGCTGGGCTTTGGCGATCCTTCCGCCTCAGCCTTCCAAGTAGCCGGAATTACAGGCATGCGCTATCACGCCCAGCTAATTTTTTGATTTATTGTAGAGATGAGGTCTCGCTGCTCAGGCAGGTCTTGAACCCGCGGGCTCAGGCAATCCATGCACCTCAGCCTCCCAAAGGCGCAGGATTACAGGCTGAGCCACCGAGCCCGGCTCCAAATGCTTTCTGATAGTATTATAATTGTTCAAGGTCTGCTTATGAGTGAGAACATATGGAATTGTCTTCTTTGTTTCTGTGATAAATCACTGAGTATGATCGACTCCAAATCCATCCAAGTCGCTGTGAAGTCTGTATGTTTGTCCTTCTTTATGGCTGCATAATATTCCATTGTGTATATGTACCACATTTTTTAATCCAGTCCAGCTCCGATGGCCAACAAGGTTGGTTCCGTGTTTTTCCTATTGTGAATAGAGCTGCAACAACAAACATAGTATTCAACTTTTCAATCCAGGAAATGCATATTGAAATGAGACCACTTATTTTACCTTTAAGTTCACAAAATGATTGATAACGGACAAACTGTGTGATCCACGTGAAAATCAGTATTGTACAGGTAAAGTGCGTTGCTGGCAGCTGTGTGAGCTGATGCATATTTTTGGAGAAGAGGGATTGCATTTGCACTCTTTGACTTCTTACTCCTACTTTTAAGAATCCAGTCTAGGCTGGGCTCGGTGGCTCAGCCTGTAATCCCAGCACTTTGGGAGGCCGAGCTGAGTGGATTGCCTGAGCCCGCGCGTTCGCGATCTGCCTGGGCAACTTGGCAAGACCTCATCTCTACAATAAATAAAAAATTAGCCGGGTGTGGTAGCGCACGCCTGTAGTTCCAGCTACTTGGAAGGCGGAGGTGGAAGGATCGCCAGAGCCCAGCAGGTCGAGGCTGCGGTGGCCGGGAGCAGCCACTGCATTACAGTCTGAGTGACAGAGTGAAACTCTAACTCAAAAAAAAAAAAAAAAAAAGAATCCAGCCTAAGGAAGTACCCATAATATGTGACAAGCAATATTCATGAAGACGTTCCTTCTGGCATTATTCATCATAGTAAAAAATAGAATAACCTAAGTATTCCAAATAGGGAAACATAATGTTAGTGAATTATTGACTCAGAGCTGGGCGCAGTGGCTCGTGCCTGTCATCCCAGTACTTTGGGAGGCAGAGGCGAGAGGATTGAGGATTGCATGAGCCCAGGGGTTCGAGTCCAGCCTGGGCAACTCAGCAAGACATTGTCTCTACAATAAATCAAAAAACTAGCCTGGTATGGTGGCACTTCTGTAGTCCCAGCTACTTGGAAGGCTGAGGCGAAAGGATCACCCAAGCCCAGTAGGTCAAGGCTGCAGTGGCCGTGAACATTTTACTGCACTCTAGCCTGGGCAACAGAGTGAGACTCCAACTCAAAAAAAAAAATTTTGACTCAGAATATCATGTAGCCAGAGATTATGTTTAGGAGGCAGAGCTCTGCATACTAATAGGGAAAGATAGCCAAGAGACACCATGAGAAAAAGCTAGAGGGAGGAGAAAGTCAACACGATTTCATGAACGAGAGAGAGAGATTAAAAGATAAAAAGTGTGTCTTCTATATATCCATAAAAGGTTTCTGGAAAATATACAAGAGCTGGGTGCAGTGGCTCATACCTGTAATCCCAGCACTTTGGGAGGCGGAGATGAGAGGATTGCCTGGGCCCAAGGGGTTCGAGATTAGCCTGGGCATCTTGGCGAGACCTCGCCGGTGTGGTGGTACACATCTGTGGTTCCAGCTACTTGGAAGGCTGAAGCGGAAGGATCACCTGAGCCCGGCAGGTCAAGACTGCAGTGGCCATGACTGTGCCACTGCACTCCAGCCTGGGCAGCAGTGAGATTCTGACCCAAAACAAAAAACAAAATCAAAAACAAAAATATTTAAAAGAGGGAATGGGGCTAGGTGGAAGATGGAGACAAGAAACGTTAAAAAGCATTTTTTGTATCATCTGTAGCAGTTGAGATGTTTTCATTTGTTTGTGTTTTTTGTTTGTTTTGAGAGGAGTCTCACTACTCTGCCTCCCATGCTGGAGTGCAGTGACACGCTCACGCCTACCACAACCTTGACCTGCTGGTCTCAGGTGATCCTTCCGCCTCAGCCTTCATTGTTTTTGTTTTTGTTTTTGTTTTTAGTCAGAATCTCACTCTGTCTCCCAGGCTGGAGTGTAGTGGCACGCTCACAGCCACCACAGCCTCGACCTGCTGGGCTCAGGTGATCCTTCTGCCTCAGCCTTCCAAGTAGCTGGAACTACAGGCATGCACCACCACACCTGGTTAATTTTTATGATTTATTGTAGAGACAAGATCTCACCAAGTTGTCCAGGCTGGTCTCGAACCTGTGGGCTCAGGCAGTCCTCTCGCCTCAGCCTCCCAAAGTGCTGGGATCATAGGTGTGAGCCACCTGGTCTGGCTTCGCTTCAGCCTTCAAAGTAACTGGAACCACAGGCACGTGCCACCATACCTGGCTGATTTTTTTGATTTTTTTGTAGAGACGAGTTTTCACTAAGTTGCCCAGGCTGGACTTACACCCCTGGGCCCAGGCAGTCCTCTTCCCTCTGACTCCCAGAGTGCTGGAATGACAGGCGTGAGCCACTGCACCTAGCTTGTTTGTGTTTTTAATTTTGTGTGTGTTAGAGTAAAACCATCACAAAATATCCTGAAGGCTATTGGGACCAGTGAAGATGCTTTTGACACGTCAAGCAAAGAGGATAAGATGTAAAATTGCATGTATAAAATATAGTTGTAGCTACAGGATAAACGTAAGAATGGGGGGAAAGGGCTGGGTGCAGTGACTTATGCCTGTAATCTCTGCTCTTTGGGAGGCTGAGGTGAGTGGATTGTTGGAGCGCAGGAATTTGAGACCTGCCTGGGCCACATAGCAAGACCTTATCTCTATAAAAAGTAAAAACAATTAGTATGTGTCTGTAGTCCGAGCTACTTGGGAGACTGAGGCAGAAGGATCTCCTGAGCCCAGGAGGTAGAGGCTATGGTGAGCCATGATTGCACTCCAGCCTGGGTGACAGAGTGAGACCCCAACTCAAAACAAAACAGAAAGGATAGAATGATTGTTTTAAGGTATAAGATTATATTTTCTTTGTATTTCTCTATTTTTTTTTAATTTAAAATTTGCTTTATATTAATTATACCAACATGTCTGGGTGCTGTGGCACATACTTGTAATCCCAGCACTTTGGAAGGCCAAGGTGGGAGGATCACATGAGCCCAGGACTTCAAGACCAGCCTAGGCAACATAGCGATAGCAAGACTCCATCTTTAAAAAAAAATTTAAAAAGTTACTAGCCGGGCATGGTGACACGTGCCTGTAGATCCAGCTACTTGGAAGGCTGAGGCAGAAGGATTACCTAAGCCCAGCAGTTGAGGCTGTGGTGATCGGGAGCCTGCCACTGCCCTCCAACCTGGGTGACAGAGTGAGAAAAATAAAATAAAAATAAAATAAAATAAATTAGTTGGGCACACTGACACATGCCTATAGTCCCAGCTACTTGGGTGACTGAGGTGGGAGGATCTCCTGAGCCCAGGAAGGTGAGGCTGTGGTGAGCTACCATCATGCCACTGCACTCCAGTCTGAATGACAGAGGGAGACCCTGACTCCAAAAAAATGAATTATACCAGCACAATTTTAGCAGAGTAGTTGTATGCTTTAAGAAACATGCAGAAGGACTAGTTATGTGTTGTGGATAGATCTGCTCTGTGAGAAATCCCTGCCTTTTAAAAATCCCTGTGACCTACTTTTCCAGGGTCCGGGGTAGGGGGCTGAGGATGGCGTTGGACCTGTCTGGCGAGGGTAATTTTTCTCCTTTCGCTCCCGTCTCTGCCTGGTGCGGTGGTAATCAATATAAATCAGTATGTTTGCGGTGGTAAATTGACATCTGTCTCGCTTCCTACAGGGCCCGCCCACCTTTGGGCTCTTGCTGGACATCGACGGAGTGCTGGTGCGGGGCCACAAGGTGATCCCTGCCGCTCTGGAAGCATTCCGCAGGCTGGTGAACCCTGAGGGGCAGTTGCGGGTGCCTGTGGTTTTTGTCACAAATGCTGGGAACATCTCACAAGACCGCAAAGCCCAGGAGCTGTCGGCTCAGCTGGGGTGCAAGGTGAGGAGGCAGCTGGGGGCCCGGAAGCCCAAGGACCGGGTTCCTTGTGCAACCCCAGCCCGCTCCAGGTCCCTCTCCCTGGGTTGGGTACAGTGTCGCCGGGTCCTAGGTTGTGGCCAGTTGGGTCAGTGGAATTCTCTCAACCCTGTAGGAACAAGAATTTTCCGAAGTTCAAGCCTAGCCTCATGAGTAGAGCCTCATCATGAGGCCATCACGTGTCATACACAGACACCTCCACACACTGTTGAACACAGAAGTCCTGCCCCTGTACTTGGCAGGTTTAGTTTACTGTCCTTGTACCCATTTTTTCACCCTGGCAGGAGGGCTGTTGCCCCCTGGGAAGCAATCGTCACGCTTGTCTCCAGGTCCTTGCAGCAGATGGGGCTCTGAAGTCACGGCCTTTTTGGTGAAGCCCATGTGCACCTCGAGGGTGCCGTCCTCCAGAGGCCGCACTCCTACAGGCCCCGTTGCAGCCCAGCCTCGACGCTTTTTGCTTTTGAGTTGGAGTCTCTCTCTGTCTTCCAGGCTGGAGTGCAGTGGCACGCTCATGGCCACCGCAGCCTCGACCTGCTTGGGTTCAGGCGATCCTTCCGCTTCAGCCTTCCAAGGAGCCGGAACTACAGGTGCATGCCCCCACACCGGCTAGTTTTTTGATTTATTGTAGAGATGAGGGCTCACCGAGTTGCCCAGGCTGGTCTCGAACTCCTGGACTCTGGCAATCCTCTGGCCTTTGCCTCCCAGAGTGCAGGGATTACAGGCACGAGCCACTGTACCTGGCCAACACACTCCTGCTTGTTGCAGGTGAATTGGACAGAGTCCTTTAGAGCCAGGACAGTAAATGAAATGGCCTCTTAGAGGATACTGCTTGAAGTGAATGCAAAGTGTAAGGAAATAAAATTGGTTCCTTGCTGAGGTTTCCAGAGAGTGTTCCAAAAACCTTCTGAGTAGAAGCCGCATTGTTGGGGTCAGTATAAATGTTAAGCATGCCAGGCATGGTATCTCACACCTATAATCCCATCACTTTGTGAGGCCAAGGTGGGAGGGTTGCCTGGGCCCAGGTTTTCTTTTTTTTTTTTTTGAGTTAGAATCTCACTCCGTCGCCCAGACTGGAGTGCAGTGGCCGCTCCCGGCCACCGCAGCCTCGATCTGCTGGGCTCCGATGATCCTTCCGCCTCAGCCTTCCAAGTAGTCGGAACTACAGGCACGTGCTACCACGTCTGGCTGATGTTTTGATTTGTTGTAGAGATGAGATCTCGCCAAGTTGCCCAGGCGGGTCTTGAACCTGCGAGCTCAGGCAATCCATTCATCTCAGCCTCCCGAGGCGTCGGATTACAGGCTGAGCCACCGAGCCCGGCTGGGCCCAGGTTTTCAAGACCAGCCTGGGCAGCGCTCAGTGGTCCCGCAGATCTGTCTCTTGCTTCAGCAGTGTTTGGACGGTACAGACCCCCGGCCTCCCTCCCTTCCAGCCTCCTACTGACCTCTAGTCTCCTCTCCACTTGCAACCCAGCCTCGACATACTCTTCTCGGCCACCTCCTGCCCCTGGGACCAGCCAACGGTGTTTCTGTGGTTAGCGCCTTCTTGCTGACCAACCGGGAGCTCCCAGGTTCGCCAGAATTATTCCACCGAGGTGGAGGGCAGCTGTCAACTGCCTGGTCAGTTTGCATCTGCAGACCTCCTACACTTGCCTTTCTCTGGGCTTCTCTTTCAACCACACTGATGTGGCTCTGGAAGGCAGGTCGCTTCTTCTGTGGATTGGCTGAGGAGGGGTGCCAGGGCGCCAGAGCATCTCTTGAAGATGCAAAACCAACATGGCGGCCTTGCCCTCTTCCAGGGTGTCTAGAAGCCATCTCAGAATGAGTGGGGGGCAACCCTGGATGCCATGGGAGCTGCCGTGGCCCTGGAGAAGAACCTGAACCAGTCCTTTTGGATCTTCCTGCCCTGGGATCTGCCTGCACATCTCTGTGACTTCCTGGAGAGCCATTTCCTAAATGAGGAAGTGAAACTCGTCAAGACGGGTGACCACGGACCAGCCTTCAAAGGCAGCCTGGCCCTGAGCCTGGGCTGGCGAGTATCTCTTGGAAAGGCTCACCCTCCAGCACAACGAGGAGCTCAGTGGCCTCCAGGGGGCCCTCTCAAAGTCTCAGGGCTTCTGTCTGAGCCTCCTCCTCCAGCACCAGGCAGCTTTTTAACTACCCTGGAGCCCTCTCCCAAGCCCTGGACCAAATGAAAATAAAGCTTTTTGCAGGAAAAAAAGACCAGTCTGGACAACATAGCTAGATCTCATCTCTATAAAAAATTTTAAAACATTAACCAGGCGTGGTGGCATGTGCCTGTAGTCTCAGCTACTTGGGAGGCAAGGAGGAGTCCAGGAAGTCGAGGCTGTGGGGAGCCATGATCATGACACTGTGCTCCAGCCAGGGTGACAGAGTGAGACCCCCGACTTTTTAAAAAAAGGAATAATCCCAGCACTTTGGGAGGCGGAGGTGAGAGGATTACCTGAGCCCACAGGTTTGAGACCATCATGGGCAACATGGCAAGACCTCCTGTGTACAATAGATCAAAGGATTAGCCGGTCATGGTGGCACACACCTGTAGTTCCAGCTACCTGGAAGGCTGAGGCAGAAGGATTACCTGAGTCCAGCAGGTCAAGGCTGCGGTGGCCCTGAGCATGCCATAGCATCCCGGTCTGAGCGACAGAGTGAGAATCCGACTCATAAAAAAAAACAAGCTAAGTCTGAGAAGAACTGAAAACAAGAAGAAGTTTAAGCCAGATCCCTACGACTAGTGACCAGGAACAGGTGCAAACCCCGTGACCTCCAAGTGATTGAGGAACCCAGAGGGTGTCCAGAGCTGAGCCCAGCAAGACTCAAGTCAGGTGTCCTTTCTGTTGTGTTTTGTGTGGCAAGGAGCAAATGAGACAAACCCTCCTCACACTGTGTGGGAAAGCTTTCAGGGCGCCTGGTGCTGGAACTGGCCTGTGTTTCCTGCAACTATATGTCTTCTCCTGTCTCTGCATCTCCTCAGGTGGACACAGACCAGGTCCTCCTCTCCCACAGCCCCATGAAGCTCTTCTCGCAGTTCCATGGGAAGCGGATGCTGGTGTCTGGGCAGGGGCCCCTGCTGGAAAATGCCCGAGTGTATCCTTCTGGTCTTCCTGCTCTGGCCACAGAGGAAGAGCAGGACTGGGGCCTTCCCTCCCTGGGCTGAGTGTGGACCCGAGTGAGGAGTACTGGGTGCAGGATCCCGGCGTGCCTGGGCTGTCGGGCTCTTGGGAGGGTGGACAGCTCGAGTGTCACCAGTCCTCGTGTCCAGTGACTTCTGAAGCCAGGCCACAAGCCCCTGCAGCAGAATCTTCTGGGAGCCCTACAGATTCCTGGTCTTACTGCTATAGAGTCCTGCTTCCCTGGGTCTAGAGTAAAATTCAGGAATCTGTATCTAAAAAGCAATGCTCGATGTAGGTGGTTCTGTCTCGGTTGGGGAACCACCGCTCTGGCCCTCCTCCTCGGGGCACTCAGTTCGCCTCTCAGCCAGTGCTGAGGGAGCAGCCACAGGGACCTCATCCCTTTGGGTGCGGAAGACGTGGTCCCTGTTCCCAAGCAGCCTCTGTCCTGAGCACTTCCTGGTACCAGCGCTAACCACGTGTGTGCTCCAAAGGGGGTGAGGACCAGGGTGGGGGTGGAGGACTGTGAGTGAACCCGGGTTCCTTGTTGAAGCAAGAGTACACCCATGAGCAATAAAGGCATGTTTAGATGGTGCCGAGTGTCGCAGGTGTGGAGGGAGGAGCATAGCCCTGGGACAAGGGTTGCTGGTGGCGTCTTGGAGGCTGTCAGGGAGTGGGCGGAGAAGTGCCCGTGGCTGAGAAGCCTCGCAGTGGCCTGACCTCAGGAGTGTGGCATGACTCCGCAGTGCAGACCTGAGTGCTGAAGTGGTGTCTGATGGGATCATCATTTTGGGGAGATTCATTTGTCCAGTTAAGGTTGCAAGTTGGAACTGAAGACAGGAAATGGAGGCAAGTTTAGAGGAGATGAGGCTGGAGCTGGCTGTCCCTTCCCAGGGCCTCCCCTGCTTGCTGGAGCAGGGTCATCCTTCAAGATGTTAGTTCAGTCCTCCTGCAAGACCCTGCCCGTCTCCAGCCCACGGTGACGTCTCCCTGACCTCAGTGCCGTTCACAGAGTGCTAGTTCTGATGGGCTGAGTGTGCACGAGCTCCTTGAGGGTACAGCCTTGTGTGCCTTGGCGCCCCAAGCGGTGCTCCCCAGGACCTGACCCCTGCGTCCAGGGACTGCTGCTGGGTGCCTGGAGCTGCTGTGTCCACTCTGCCTGTGCAGGCTCAGTGAGTCGTCCTTGCCGGGCCCTGCCGGTTTCCCTCCAGCCTGGTTTGATCCGGGCAGGGTCTGGCTCCCCTCGCTTGGGATTCGCTGTGTTCAGAGAGGCATCTCCCCTGGAACATGTGGTGTTGCCTCCTGATCGCGCTCCAGACTGGGCTTCCGGAACCTGGTGACCATAGATGAGCTGCGAATGGCCTTCCCTGTGCTCGACATGGTGGACCTGGAGCGGCGGCCCAAGACTACGGTGAGGGGAGCCCCACCTGGGCCGCATTGCTCTCTGGGGTCTCTGTGCAGGTGGTCTCTGCTTGCTTCACCCTCTGACCTCGCACCCTTCTGCCCAGAGCTGCTTGTTCCGTGTGTCCATGTCATCTCTTTGAGAGGCATGTCCGGCCAGGGGTTTTGTTCCCTGGACCTGTGGGGTGGCCGGAGAAGCAGCAGGCTCCCAGCCCTGTCTTCGACAGGGTTTGCTGACTGGGGGCTCCTTTCAGAGCCTAACGTCCCCCAGTGAGTAGCTTGTCCTCTGCTGGCCGGCTGTCCAGTGCTGCTCGGGGGGGTCGCCAGCCCTTGCACGTGACCACTGCTGTTCCATGGCACAGGGGTGCCCTGTGAAAGCAGCACTGGCTACTGCATGTCTGCCTGGTGCCTGGCGGGTCAGCTCATTCGAGCCGCTGTTTTCCTGTGTCTTGTGGCCGGCAGTTCCAGGGCCTCTCCCACAGGTCCTGTAGAGCAGGGGTCCCCAAACGTATCAGTCTGCAGCCTGTTGGGAACTGGGGGCACAGCAGGAGGTGAGCGGCGGGCGAGCGAGCGAGGCTTCTTCTGTGTTTCCAGCCTTTCCGCATCACTGGCATTACTGCTGGCATTACCGCCTGAGCTGCGCCTCTTGTCAGATTGGTGGAGGCATTAGATTCTTGGGAGCGTGAACCTCTGCGAAGTGCACATGTGAGGGGTCTAGGCTGTGCGCTCCTTGTGAGAATCTAATGCTGATGATCTGTACAGTAAATGTCATGTGCTTGAATCATCCCGAAGCCATTCCCCGTCCCGCTCCCCCATCAGTGGGAAAATTGCCTCCCACAACACCAGTCCCTGATGCCAAAAAGCTTGGGAACCACCGCTCTAGAGTACAACCGCCCACCGCTTGAGGTACCCTCGGCCCCATCTCCCTCGTGCGAGCTTTGTGTGTGCCACACCTCGTTAGGTGGCTCTCAGCGGTTACCAGCGGACAGCCCGCCTGTGTGGCCCAGGGCCTTCCTCCTCCAGAGCTTTCCGATGGATTCGAGCCCTTGGCCCCTCGGAGAGCTTTCTCCTTGAGCTGTGCTCATCTTGTGGAGAACCACAGCGTTGGACTTGGAACAGGGTTCAGAATAGCTGAGACTGAGCTCCTCACAAGGGACGTGACCTACCCAGGTCACACAGCCATTAGTGGCAGCGCCAAGACTCCAGGGGCCTGGGAAAGAATGGGCCCCAGAGGCAGCCTGGTCATTGAGGCCTCCGGAGCAGACATCACGAGAAAGGCCCATCATAGGCTCCCCTCACCTTCAGCTTCCCGATTCTAGACTCTCTCTTGGCCCGTTTCTTGCGTCTTGCGTTCTGGCCTTGCTGGAGAAAGATGCTTGACTGCCCTTCCTCCTGGCCGACCATCTCATGGGCATTCCTCTGCCTGTTCTGTGGCCCACTGGCCATGTCTTTGCACCTTTCTCAGCTCCCTGGCCTTGGGCTCGGCCATGGGGAGGGTCTGTGGTCCGGGTGCAGTCTGGAGTGGAGGTGACCGTTGGTTGATGGCCTGTCCTTTGTCTCTCGCAGCCGCTGCTGAGGACCGACTTCCCCGCCATTGAAGGTAAAAGCGGTCCTCTTTGTGCTGTTAGTGGGGCTGTCTGCTGGCAGCCTGGTGGGCATGAGGCCGGCCTTGGGCATCGGGACGCCTGGCTCGGCGCGGGGTCTGCCACTCACCACCTCTGGGATTGTGCTGAGACCAGTGTTGGCGGTCGTTCCTTCTCATGCCACCCGCCTTGCTACTCTGGAAAGACCGCAGCAGCTCAGAGAGTCGTGGGGCAGAAGGGGGCCATCTGGTCCAGAGTTTTTCACGCGGAAGCCCAAGGCTCCCCCTACAACAAAGACACTGTGGCATCCCCTTTCCTGTCCTGAGCTGGAATTCTAGGGTCATAGACCTTTTCATACACAAAGGAAAAATTAGCTCAGTAGAAAACCCTACCTGTAATAGGGAAAATAAAAGACAACATTTTTAGTAAGAAGATAACAATGTATTTCACTAGGTAGCAATTATTCAAGAAGTGAAATGATTGACAGAGCATAGCATTCCTGTGAGGGTTACAGCTACAGATGCAGATGGCACAAGTATGCACGGGTGTGACCCAGGCATGCTTCCTCGGTGACGCAGAAGTTAGGGCAGCCGTGCTGCAGCGACGTGATTTTCAGAAACAGGGAACAACTCTTGGGGAAGTTTTTTATTTGTTTTGTTTTGAAGTGGGATTTATTGAGAGGACAGAAAAGCTCCCACAGTGGGAGAGGACCCAAAGGGGTTGCCCTTGGTAAAGTTTTATTTATTTATTTATTTATATATTTTTTGAATTGGAGTCTCACCCTGTCACCCAGACTGGAGTGCAGTGGCTGCTCCCGGCTACTGCACCCTCAACCTGCTGGGCTCTGGCGATCCTTCCGCCTCAGCCTTCCAAGTAGCTGGAGCTACAGGCACATGCTACCACGCCTGGCTAATTTTTTTTTTTTTTTGTAGAGATGAGGTCTCGCCAAGTTGCCCATTCGGGTCGCGAACTCACAGGCTCAGGCAATCCACTCACTTTGGCCTCCGAAGGCACGGGATTACAGGCTGAGCCACCAAGCCTGGCCCCTTGATGAAGGTTTTTTTTTTTTTTTTTTTTTGAGTTGGAGTCTCACTTTGTCGCCCAGACTGGAATGCAGTGGCCGCTCCCAACCACCGCAGCCTCGACCTGCTGGGCTCCGGTGATCCTTCCACCTCAGCCTTCCGAGTAGCTGAAACTACAGGCGCATGCTACCACATCTGGCTGAATTTTTGATTTATTGTAGAGATGAGGTCTTGCCAAGTTGCCCAGGCGGGTCTTGAACTTGCGGGCTCAGGCAATCCACTCACCTCAGCCTCCCAAAGGCGCGGGATGACAGGCTGAGCCACCGAGCCCAACTCCTTGGTGAAGTTTTAAAAAACGAAGTACAATCTTCTCTTGACCTTTTTTTTTTTTTTGAGTCAGATTCTCAATCTGCTGCCCAGGCTGGAATGCAGTGGCACGCTCACAACAATCACTGCTCTCGGCATCCTCGACCTCCTGGGCTCAAGCGATCCTTCCACCTCAGCATCCTGAGCAGGGACTACAGGCACACACCACCACGTCCGACTCGTTTTCTGATTTTGTGTAGAGATGAGGTCTCACTGCGTTGCCCAGGCTGTCTCAGACTCCTGGGTCCAGGTAGTCCTCTCAGCTCTGTCTCCCAAAGTGCTGGGATTACAGGCCTGAGCCACCGTGCCCAGCTTGCTCTTGACTTTACGTGATTGTGGTATTTTTGGAAAAATCAGTGTTTATTAAAATGACTCAAAACACTTTATAGTTCTGTGTAAAACGGAATTAACTCAAGCCTTTATAACCAGGTCAAACACCTACATGGCCATATGCTATTAGGACACAGGACAGTTTGCAATGGTACACAGCTGTCCTGAGCATGTTGCACCCCTACCCCTCGCAGCCCTCGGCCACTGTGTTATTGTGACAGTTAAAAATGGCCTCTGGTTTTTTTTTTTTTTTTTTTGAGTTGAAATCTCATGTCGCCCAGGCTGGAGCGCAGTGGCTAGCTCATGGCCACGGCAGCCTCGACCTGCTGGGCTCAGGGGATTTTTCTGCCTCAGCCTTCCAAGTAGCTGGAACTACAGGCGGTTGCTACCATGCTCGGCTAATTTTTGATTTATTGTAGAGATGAGGTCTCGCCAAGTTGCCCAGGCTGGTCTCGAACCTGTGAGCTCAGGCAGTCCTCTCATCTCAGCCTCCCAAAGTGCTAGGCTTGAGTCATAGCATTTGGCTGGTCTCTGATTTTCATTTATTTATTTATTTATTTTAATTTTTAATTTTTTTTTTTTTTTTTTTTTAGTTGGAGTCTCACTCTGTCACCCAGACTGGAGTGCAGTGGCCGCTCCCGGCCACCGCAGCCTCGACCTGCTGGGCTCTGGCGATCCTTCCGCCTCAGCCTTCCAAGTAGCTGGAACTACAGGCGCGCGCTACCACGCCCGGCTCATTTTTGTTTTATTGTAGGGATGAGGTCTCGCCCAGTTGCCCAGGCGGGTCTCGAACCCACAGGCTCAGGCAATTCACTCACCTCAGCCTCCCAAGGCACAGGGATTACAGGCTGAGCCACCGAGCCCAGCTGGCCTCCGATTTTTAAAACACCTCTCTAAGGGCGGCACTGGCCTGCTGAGAACCCCTGTCTGGTTCAGTTCACCCAGCTTGTGACTGAGAGCGGCAACTGTCCTTTGTCCATGCTTGCTGTGTGTACAGCCTTGGACTCAGTGTTGGTTTGCCACACCTCACAGCAGCACTGTCAGTTGCTGTTGCTCTAGATAGTTGAGGAAACAGGCTCGGAGGTGAGTCACTTGCCCATAGTCATACAGGAAATTGGCAGATTCGGGTGAGAATCCAGATCGCTGATTCCAGATGCGCTTCTCCAGGCCACTTGGTTCTACTGGTCCCCGGGCTCAGATGTGCCCGAGGGAATAGGGCCCAGGGACATGCGGGGAGGGCATGGCAGGTCAGTCAGCAGGAGCCCTCTTCTGCGAAGGCCACTGGACTCCAGTCAAAATGGGAACGCAGAAGGCTCCTTCTGGGGCCCGGGCTGTTTGCCCAGGGACGAGGGTGTGTGGCTCTCCAGGGCTCAGGGAGCTGTGTCCTTGCCGGGCGAATACACCGAGGCAGAGCTTGTAGGTGGGAGCCCCTCTGGCCCCAGCTGGCACCCTGCGGGGCTTCCATCCGACCCGCCCCCAAGGGCCGCCGACTACCCGCAGGCTCACCCTGCCCTTCTCTCGCCAGGGGTGCTCCTCCTGGGGGAGCCTGTCCGCTGGGAGACCAACCTGCAGCTGATCATGGATGTCCTTCTCAGCAACGGGAACCCCGGGACTGGCCTGGCCACAGTCCCCTACCCACATCTCCCTGTCCTGGCCAGCAACATGGATCTCCTTTGGATGGCTGAAGCCAAGATGCCCAGGTGAGCAGCGTCCCCAGCCTTGACCCTGGCGGCCTGCTCTGGCTACTGCCTGGCTGGTCCCGCGGGCGGGTTCCCAACCCACATTCTGACGCCCTGGGTGGTCGGAGCCTACCTAATGGTTGCCCCCGTAACTTGGCCTTTGGAGGGCTTTCGAGGGCCACTTCCTATATTAGTTATTAAACTAAAACTGCAGATGCCTGAGCACTGAGGATGTGTTGAGATGACTTTTTTTTTTTTTTTGAGTTGGAGTCTCACTCTGTCGCCCAGACTGGAGTGCAGTGGCCGGGTGCAGCCTCGACCCACTGGTCTCCAGTGATCCTTCCGCCTCAGCCTTTCGAGTAGCCGGAATTACAGGCATGTGCTACCACGCCCAGCTGAGTTTTTGGATTTATTGTAGAGATGAGGTCTCACCAAGTTGCCCAGGCGGGTCTTGAACCCGCGGGCTCAGGCAATCCACTCACCTCAGCCTCCCAGAGTACGGGATTATAGGCTGAGCACTGAGCCCGGCTGAGAAGACTTTTAACACACTACCCCTGCCCTCCACAATCTTTTTATTTTTATTTTTGAATTGTGTCTCACTCTGTCGCCCTCCTGGGCTCAAGTGAACCTTCCACCTTAGCCGCCCGAGTTGCTGGGGTTACTGCGCACACCATCATGCCTAGAGTATATTTTGGCTTTTTGTAGGGGCAGGGTCTTGCTATGCTGCCCAGGAATCCTGGTTTCAAACTCCTGGGCTCAGGCAGTCCCCCTGTCCTTGGCCTCCCTAAGTGCTGGGATTATAGGAGCCAGCCACTGCGCCCAGCCACTCTCCACGGTCCTAACAGTGTGCTCTTGTCTAGTTTAGCCAGACGACAGCACTTAGGAGCCGCTCAGCGCCGATGACGCCACTGCTCCCCTCCTTGCCTCTGCCCCCAGCGTTGGTTCTTTCACTTCTGGTTTCCTTCCCCCTTAAGACAAGGCTGGGAGAGCAAGGATTCTCCTCTGGTGGTGTAGACGAGAGAACGAGGCCCAGTGGATAAGTGGCTTTCTCAAGCTCACCCTCCTGCTTGGCTGTGCTGGTGTCGTCTGTCCTGTCTGTCTGGGGGCGCCCCGAGCCCTTTGGTCCTCAGGGTGCCCCACTGGAAGGCCGGCTGGTGGCTGCTGAGTACTGCTTGGCTGCCAGTACCCGCGACGCCAACATCTTGAGTCTTCTTACCCCACTGACTCCTGGTGAGCTGTGTGGTGCTCGGGCAGGCAGTGCTCGGGCCCAGTATTGCCTTAGAGCACGTAACTCGGGGGCCCCAAGGAGACAGGCTTGTGGCGTCCTCTTCTGACACTTGTTTTTTTGTGTGTTTTGTGTGTGTGTGTGTGTTGGACACTTGTGTTTTGTGTGTGTGTGTGTGTGTGTGTGTGTGTGTGTGTGTGTGTGTTGG